CCAGCCAGAGTAGAAACATTGGACGTGTTTCTTTCAACCTGTTGTCTATGTTCCCCATCAGTAAAATGGGTACCTGGGTGTTAGTCGACTGGTGTGGGTCGCATCCTGGGACACTGACCTAAGGAGGCCTGGTCACAGACCGGGCCGCGGGGGCGTTGACCCCCGGAACTCTCTCCAGGTATCTCCAGGTATCTCACTGACCACACAAGACCCATTCTCTCACATGTGGGCCTACCAGCTTTCTCCTGCTTGATTTGAAGCCGCTAGAATTTATGAGTATATATACGTCAAAAACGGTGGCTCGTAAGACATATATATACGACCAAAACAGTCAAAGGGTTAATAAGTTATGAAAGCCTAGGGAATGAGTGGCAGTCAAAGAAAGAAGAGGGGAGTTGTTAGATGGAGAGTTGGAGGCATCTTGAAGATGGAGGGAATAATCTGAGGAACTTAAATGTTGATGAGAATAGGGAAGCTGGGCAGGGAGGAATAACATCTTGTAGGAGTGCATGAGGCAGTGAGTAAAATGAAAGGGGGTAAAGTAGCTGGGACTGATGGGATAAAGACAGAAATGTTGAAAGAAGGGGATATATAATTTTGGAATGGTTAGTTCTTTAACCCTTTGAGCGTCGACAGGCCCTCTCCGAAACTCGTTCTCAGGGTCGGCCAAATTTAAAAAAAAAAAAAAATTATTTTCTCTTATGAAAAGATAGAGAATCTTTTCCCGATCATAAAGACACCAAAAGTTTGAAATTTGATAGAAAACTTACGGAATTATGCTCTCGCAAAGTTAGCGGTCTCGGCGATGTTTACGTATTGGCGATTTTGCCCACTTTGAGCCCAATTTTCGGCCAATTTCACTGTACTAGTCGACAAAAAACATGAATATTTCGCTAGAACTCCATTTTTTCTATCGAATGGGTGCAAGAAACCACCCATTTATGAAATTCAACTATCCAGTACAGTGGTCAGAATTTAGCAATTTTGCCAATTTCACACAAATTTCAAAAGATGCCAATTTCCGAATAGGGTCCAGAATAAACAAGAAAGACATTCCTGGCACTAAAATGACATTTCCTCTAGTCATTAGTCACGTCTCAAGGCCCCTCTTATATTCTTTTGCTTTCCACTTTGAATTTTTATTCTCACAAAAAATATAAGATTTACTGTTATGCAGACTACTGCATTAGTGTAAAAAATGGTATAAATATTATTGGTGCACTTGTGAAAGAATATTAGACTCACCAGTTGACGTGTATTGCATGCTTGGCACGATTTGTTTACTTTTGAAGTTTGGTAAAAATCGAACATTTCTGCTACTTTGAGCTCAATTTCAAGGCACCTTTCATTGTAAAACCAGTCAAAATCATCTCAATTTCTGTAATATGTCTTCCATTCTATAAAATGAGACCAAGAAAACTAGAATACAGCAATAAATACCATACGAAAATACACTGCAAAGTCGCTGATTTATTCCAAAAAAATGGTCAAAGTTTTTTTTTTCTCATTGTGCACTGTGTGCTGCAGGATTTTTTTTAGACTGTGCACACTGACCACATAGACCCATTCTTTCATATGAAGGCCTACCAGCTTTCTCCCACTAGATTTGAAGCCGCTAGAATTTATGCGTACTAGTATGTCAAAAACCCCTACGCGTAAGACTTACTAGTACGACCAAAACCCTCAAAGGGTTAATTTAATAAATGTATGGAAGAGGGCAAGGTTACTAAGGATTGGCAGAGAGCATGTATAGTTCCTCTGTATAAAGGCAAAGGGAACAAAAGAGAGAGTAAAAATTACAGGGGAATAACCTTGTTGAGTATACCTGGTAAAGATTATGGTAGAGTTATTACTGAAAGAATTAAGAGAAAGAATGAGATCAGGATAGCAGATGAACAAGGAGGCTTTAGGAAGGGTAGGGGGTGTGTAGACTAAGTATTTACAGTGAAACATATAGCCGAACAGTCTTTAGATAAGGGTAAAGAGCTTTCTGTGGCATTATGGATTTGTCAAAAGCATATGATAGGGTGGATAGGGAGGCAATGTGGCAGATGTTAAAAATGTATGGAACAGGAGGTAGGTTATGGAAAACAGTGAAGAATTTTGTATGAGGATAGTGAGGCTGAGGTTAGAGATGTAGGAGAGAGACAGGGACTATTTCCCAGTAAAAGTAGGCCTTAGACAGGGATGTGTGATGTCACCACGGTTGTTCAATATACAGCCTCTCCTCACTTAACTACAGACATAGGGACCTAAGACCCTATCGGTAAACGAATTCATTGCTAAACAAGGAGCATAGTATAATAGTAGTGGATTTTTGTCAACCATTTTTTATATTGTTTTACTGTCACCTTTACACCATTTATAACATTTCTGGTATATTTTTAAATATTTATACAGCAGTGTACTGTATATTATAATAAGCAGAATTGAGGAAATCAGCTCTAATATACATTATTTAGGTATAAATAATGATCAGAGAGCCCATCGTAAGTCCGAGTTGTCGGTAAACGAGTATGTCGTTAAGTGAGAAGAGGCTGTAATTATAGATGGGGGTTGCAAGAAAAGTGAATGCTCAGGTGTTAGCAACAGGCATGGAGTTAAAAGATAAAGAATCTAATACAAAGTGGGAGTTGTCACAGATGCTTTTCGCTGATGATACAGTGCTTTTGGGAAATTCTGAAGAGAAGTTGCAGAGGTTGGTTGATGAGTTTGGTAGGGTATGCAAAAGAAGGAAATTAACCCTTTCAGGGTTTCGGCTGTACTAGTACGGTTTATGCATCAGGGTTTTTGACATACTAGTACGCCTAAATTCTAGCGCCCTCAAATCTAGTGAGAGAAAGCTGGTAGGCCTACATATGAAAGAATGGGTCTATGTGGTCAGTGTGCGCAGTATAAAAAAAAAATCCTCTAGCACACAGTGTGTAATTAGAAAAAAAAAAACTTTGACCATGTTTTTGGATTAAAACTGCGACTTTGCACTGTATTTTTGTATGCTATTTGTGGTTGTATTCTAGTTTTCCTGGTCTCATTTTATAGAATGGAAAACATATTACAGAAATTGAGAGGATTTTGACTGGTTTTACAATGAAAAGTACCTTGAAATTGAGCTCAAAGTAGCAGAACTGTTCGTTTTTTACCAAAGTTCAAAAGTAAACAAATCATGCTAAGCGTCCAATACACGTCAACTGGTGTGTCTAATATTCTTTCACAAGTGCACAGATATTATTTATACCATTTCTACACTAATGCAGTAGTCTGCATAACAGTAAACCTTCTATTTTTTGTGAGAATAAAAATTCAAAGTGGAAAGCAAAAGAATGTAAGAGGGGCATGGGGACGTGACTAGTGAACAGAGGAAATGTTATTTAAGTGCCAGGAATGTCTTTCTTGTTTATTCTGGACCCTATTTAGAAATTGGCATCTTTTGAAATTTGTGTGAAATTGGCAAAATTGCTAAATTCTGACCACTGTATTGGATAGTTGAAATCGGTAAATGGGTGGTTTCTTGTACTCATTCGATAGAAAAAATGGAGTTCTAGTGAAATAATTATGATTTTTGTCGACTAGTACACTGGAATTGGCTGAAAATAGGGCTCAAATTGGGCAAAATCGCCGATGCGTAAACATCTTCGAGACCGCTAACTTCGCGAGAGCATAATTCCTTAAGTTTTCCATCAAATTTCATACTTTTGGTGTCATTATGATCGGGAAAAAGATTCTCTATCTTTTCATAAGAAAAATATTTTTTTTTTAAATTTGGGTGACCCTGAGAACAAGTCTGGGAGAGGGCCTAAGGACCCTGAAAGGGTTAAAAGTAAATATAGGAAAGAGTAAGGTGATATGATAACAAAAAATTTAGGTAACGAAAGACTGGATATCAGATTGGACAGAGTATGGAGGTGAATATATTCAGATATTTGGGAGTGGACGTAGCAGATGAGTCTATGAAAGATGAGATGAATCATAGAATTGATGATGGAAAAAGGGAGAGTGGTGCACTGAGGAGTCTCTGGAGACCAAGAACATTATCCAAGGAAGCAAAGAGAGGAATGTACGAGTGCATAGTTATATCAATGCTCTTATACGGGTGTGAAGCATGGGCGGTGAATGTTGAAACAAGGAGAAGGCTGGAGGTGGTGGAGATGATGCGTCTGAGAGCAATGCGTGGAGCGAATATAATGCAGAGAATCTGTAGTTTGAAAATCAGATGGTGGGGGGTTACTAAAAAATTATCCAGAAGACTAATGAGGGGTTGTTGGGGTGTTTTGGACATTGAGAGAGGATGGAATGAGATAGATGGACTTGGAAAGCATATAAAGTTGTAGTGGAAGGAAGGCGGGGTAGGGGTCGGCCTAGGAAAGGTTGGAGGGAGAGGGTAAAGGAGGTTTTGTGTGTGAGGGGTTTGGACTTCCAGCAAGCATGCCTAAGTGTGTTAGATAGGAGTGAGTGAAGACAAATGGTTTTTAAGACTTGACATTTGTTGGAGTGTGAGCAAGGGTTAACATTTGTGAAGGGATTCAGGAAACCTGGCAGGCTGGAATTAAGTGCTGGAGGTGGGAAGTACAGTGCCTGCACTCTGAAGGAGGGGTGCTAATGTTGCAGTTTTATAACTAGTGTAAGTGCACCTCTAGCAAGACAGTGATGGAGTGAATGATGATGAAAGTTTTTTCCCACCCTGCCTTTGTGGGAAATGGCTGATGTATTAAGAAAAAAAAAATTATTTTTACAGTGCCATGATCCCCATATAAGCATTATATGGAGCATAAAATACCACAAAAGTAACATATGATAATTCATTTTTTGTGATAACAAATTAATTAACCCATCTCAAACACACACAAGCAATTATCGAAGAGTCTGTCCTGATAGTATCATTTTTTTGCCTGGCAAATGCTCAGTTTTTGTCCTGAAAATTTTCATTTTCATAGTGCATGGGGAGGCTGCTGCTTCCCCTAGGAAAAATGAACTGGTCCTAATTTTGCTACATTACTGTCCAAAAAAGTAATTATGGTTGCTCTTGACCATCATGAACCACATTTTTATAAAAAGTGTATTGTACTGATAAGGGCTACAATTATTCTTACATTTTCTGTTTTCTGCTATTATTAAAAATTACTCTAGCTTTTTGTTTTTTTTAGAATATAAACTTCATTTCTTTCCTGATACTTCATTTTCTTTGGAGAAAACAAGGATTCCCATTTTATGGGGGCAAAAGTTCAAGGTTTTTCACCCATAAATGAACCTCAAAAAAACTTGGTGTGGAATGTTTTCTCTTTGAGTGGAACATAAAGAGAAAATAACATTTTCAAGCTTTCATTTTTGTAGACTACCCTAGTATTCGTCCCTTCACTAACTATCCAGATTCAATAGTACTTAACCTGAGTGATACACATCATTCAAAGTGCCACAATTAATACAGTAAAATTACTAGGTGAAAATTATAGAAGTAAACAAGTAAAAAGTTTTGAAATAGTTATGAAGCAGCAATACAGTATGTATATGGAAGCTAGTTGAAGCTTTTATGAATGATGGGATTACTGTAGTCTTAAGCAGAGCTGACCTGCCGTCGTGTCTGCATAAAACCAATGTCTTTAGAGGTGAAGAGTGACCGGCGCGGCGGCAACTGGTTGTCTTGAAAATCTCCATGAAACTCTGTCAGTTTATTCTCGAGTATGTAGAATTCATGGTACCTTCTCTCCACTTCCCAATGTACTTCTTCCGGCAACTCAGCTTTTTGAGAAAAATGGTATAAATATGCCATAATTGGGAAGTAATTTACATCACTGATAGAGTACATTCCTGTAAGGGACAGTAATTCATAATTTTTATATCAAATATTCAATTTTGGTTAGGTTAATATTAAAGAAATTGATATACCTACCTCCAGTAACATCAATTCTGGTAACATCCACTATAAATGCATAGTACGGTTTGTTGACATGGTCAAGGCGCTGCTCCACACAAGGGATGCTCACTCTCCATGCACTGAGGTCGCGGAAACTTGACGTCAAGCCCTCCAGACTACTGACTGACTGTGACATTCCACTTACTTCATCAGCCTGCCATAACAACCTGTCTTAGTCTGCTGCATTCAAAATAACTCCTCAATATTTATTAACATACTGAGTTAATTTCAATAAAAATATTTAGAGTACCTAAACTTGGTATTTATATTTTCCAGCATTTTCAATATTCAAGAAACAAATGTTAAATTATTAACATAACTTTGAAGCAATTACACCAACCATCCGACTTACGACCTGCTCAACTTACGACCACTCGACTTATGACCGTGTTTTTTATGCCAAATTTCTGGGAAATAAACAATTATTTGTGTTGTACAAAGTGTTTATCCTAAACCTTACAGTATAAAATACAGTACTAACAGCATAAAAAGTAAAGTAAAATGTGAAATACCAAAATAAAACAATAAAGTAGAGTCATTACAAAAATGTTTTGTTGATATTCAGTAGCAAAGTTCGACTTACGACCATTTTGACTTATGACCGGTTTCTCGGAACCGAACTCGGTCGTAAGTCGGATGGTAGGTGTATTATACAGTAATGTACTGAATTGACAAAAACCATACTAAACCCATATGAGGACCATGTAGAAGCAGTTTAACTAGCATCACAGCCACAAACATATGAAGTAACTATCATCAAGCAGTGTACAACAACAACAACAACAAAGTACAACACTTACATCTTAGCCTCACTATAACATACCTTCATGCAAGAGCAGCTGACTGAGAAGTTAGCTTACTGGGAGTTGTTCCCAGCTCATTACAAGTTTAAACTTACCATTAAGAGGGATATATCATCAGCTTCATCAATATCATAGAGTGCATGATCATCTTCACTCCCGATGACTACAGAAGGTTTCAGTACCATCTGTTTGCCAATATGTTTGAGGCCACTACCCACCTTCTTCACCACTACTTTACCTACGTTCTTCCTGGGATGGGGATCAATCTCCCTAAAAGGGATGCAAATGCAATTTACTAAGTTATGGGATAAAATTAACCAAAGTTTTAAATGGTTTTAGGAAATTTCTTCCTAATAACTTTGGCTGAAAAATATTGAGGCACATCCTGTTAGGTTGAAGGTTCTAAACAGACTGCATACATGTGTGGAATTTATGTCAAAGGAGATGCAAAAGCCTGCTGGCGATTCTTATAACATAGTTAAATTTATAACAAAGTACTGTAGTAATGGTGACAATGTAACAGCAAACCCTGGATAACATTAAAGATAAATCATGTAATGGTTGTACGTGCCATGATAGTTGTTTTGATTAATAGTTATATATTCAGCTCACTTATAAAGCTCCTCTACATTGTACAATTTTTCATAAATGCAAGTGAAAAAGTACATCCAAAACTGAACAGTGCATGGAAAGGTTTTAAAGGCACATGTTAATCAATTTTCAATGTGCAGTTCAACAGCATTTACAAAAAACCACTACATGGAAGAATTTTATGAAAGAACTAAGTATAATTATAATGGATGGCTAATGTACTCCATTACAGTAGTGCTATTACATCTATATTAAGGTGATGAACACATAAGAGGAACACCAGGTCTGAGCAGTGACAGTTAAGCAGATATGATCCAAGGATAGGACAATGATGCCAATTCCTTGGATCAGGAACCCTTCAAGAGTATCACTACTCCATTACAATGTAACAATATAACATTAAAGTTGTTCACATGTAGCACAAAAAATATACTTGTTCTGTACATGTTCACCATAACACAAGAATATACTTTTTCAGTGCATGTACCATCCAGTACAGGCTGAACACTTAGAATGTGCTGTACCATCTTGTGCACAATGAACACTAAAAGGTAGTGTAATGTGCATAGTGTAATGTGCACAGTACATTAGGTAGAAGGTATTGTACCAACATGTACACACTGTACACAAGGTACTGTACCGTCCTGTACAAAAACATTAGAAAGTTCTGTACCAACCTGTACTTGCTGAACACTAGGAAGTACTGTACCAACCTATACACACTGAACACTAATTTGTAGAGTACAATGCTGTGCAAACTAAACACAAAAAAAGTACTGTACAATCCAGTATATACCAGAAGGTACAGTAAAATACTGTACACAAAGAACACTTAGGGGTACTATACCATTTTGTAAACACCATGCACTAGAAAATAACATGCAATTCCATTCACAATGTATACTATAAAGTTCTGTGTCATCCTGTACACATTGTACACTAGAAGGTACCATCCTAAACACACAGAACAACAAACAGGACTGTACCATCCTGTACACACTTTACACTTAAATATGCCATACCATACTGTACACAGTATACACTAGAAGGTGCTGTACCATCCTGTACAAAGAGTACACTACAAGTTACTATGTCATTTTGTACTCACTAAATACTAAAAGATAATGATTTTATTTCTTTGTAAAGGATACAATGTGTAATTACAATTTTTGTTTACTAAGTACAAAGAAAGCCACTATCATGCCAGGGCATTTCAGGCAGACTAATCCTAACACAGTAGGGCCCCACTTTACGGCGTTCCACTAATACGGTGATTTCAAATGACCAAAATTTGTTATACAGTGAGCGGGCTTTCAAACACAGTGTGCCCCACCCGGCACATCTCTCTATTATGACTGGAAATTTTCCAAAATTTCAAGTTTTAAAGTTATTACCTGGAGTTTACCTTGAGAGGGTTTCAGGGGTCAACACCCCCGTGGCTCAGTCTGAGATCAGGGTTTGATTAACCAGGTTGTTACTGCCAGCCGCACACAAACTGACATATGAACCACTGCCCAGTTGGTCAGGCAGTGACTTTAGGTGCCTCTCCAGTGTCTTCTTGAAGACAGCCAGAGGTCTATTGGTAATCCCCCTTATGTATGCTGGGAGGCAGTTGAACAGTTTTAGGCCCTGGACACTTATTGTGTTGTCTCTCAATGTACTCGTGGCACCCCTGCTTTTCATCAGAGGAATGCTGCATCTCCTGCCGAGTCTTTTGCTTTCATAGAAAGTGATTTTCGTGTGTAGGTTTAGTACCAACCCCTCCAGGACCTTCCAAGTGTATATTATCATGTATCTCTCTCGCCTGCATTCCAGGGAATAGAGATCAAGGACCTTCAACTGGTCCCAGTAATTTAGGTGCCTTATCGTACTTGTGTGTGCTGTGAAAGTTCTTTGTTCGCTCTCCATGTCTGCAATGTCCCCAGCCTTGAATGGGAGGCCATTAGCATACAGTGTTGCATATTTTATATGTACTCTGATAATTATACACTTATGTACCTGTACCTAAATATACTTACACACTGCACTGGCATGCAGGTACACACTAAAGTCATTTTATTATGCCATGTTCACCATGTCTAGAGCTAAGAAACCTCTCACTCCTCGGCTAATTGGGGCTCTTTTGTTCCCAAGTGACAGTTCAAACACAGATGGAAGTGTCAGTAAAGATGAATTTCATGGATTTTGAGGAGTTTGTGACCGAAAGCAATGCCCAGGAAACCTGGAGGGAGGGAGGGAGGGAGGGAGGGACTGACTGACTTTATATGTGTATATACATGATAGAAAAATAGTAATAAACAACATTTTTAATTGTTGGTTTGTGTAAACATGTTTTGTAAACAATATAATGACTGTTTGTGGGGTTATTGTGTAGCATACGAGTGAATATACATTCAATATACCTTATATTGGTCTCACAGGACAGAAAATTACTTGAATGAAGAAAAAAGGAAGGAAGAAGTAAGGAAGCAAGGAAGGAAGGAGGGAAGGTAGGTAGGTAGGAAGAGATGAGAGGAAGGAAGGAAGGAAGGAAGGAAAGAAGGAAGGTAGGTTTGTGGGGAGGAAGGAATGAGTTGTGGAAGGCAGTGAGTGTTAGTGAGTGGTGGTATGATGCATCATTGTGACAAGACACACTGGTGACTCGGCAAATTTACAAGTCCACCCCCACACTACTACAAGCTTTCAGAACATCTTGTAGTTATAGGAACCTGTCCAGTGACTCAATATGTGTATATATTTGATAGAAAAATAGCAATAAACAACATTTTTTATTGTTGGTTTGTGTGAACATGTTTTGTAAACAATATAATGAGAGCAAAGTTTGTGCTATTATTGTGTAGTATACAATGAGTGAATATATACCAAACAGTCTTTATATTGGTCTCAGAGGCCATAAAAGTTACTTGAAAAAATATTAAAAAATAAAAAAAAGTAGAAAAACAAAAAACAAAATAAACTATTACCGGGTGACCAGCAGTCAGCGATGCTGCCGTATGCAGTTCAATTTCTGTCAACTTCATGCCTCCATATCTCCGTAAGTATTGATCGCAAAAATTTTTTTTTGGGCCTATAATACTCACACACACAAAAAAAAACTATCATTTCATAAGAAAAAATAATTTTTTTTCAAATATTTTTCGACCCTGAGAACAAGTTTGGGAGAGCCTGTTGACCCTGAAAGGGCAGAGCTACAGAATACAAATATAATTTTATTTCTTTGAATAGTATACAATGTGAGATTTACAAGTTATAACATATTGTTAAGCACAAAGAAAGTCGCTGGCATGCCTGTGTTGACAACCTTTACCTCACGTATAAACTTAGTCAAACACTTAAATTACTGGGAATGCTCAAAGTCCTTCTCATGGCATGCCTTGGAATACAGGCAAGAACAATACATTAGTCTTCAACAGTATTCTAACCTAGAAAGAACAAGTGACATGAAGAGAATCAGAAGTGACTCGAATTCTCTTTTTTTGAAGGTTCTAGTTATTCAGCTTATTATTATCCTTGTAGCTGTACAAGCAACATTTCTAAGATTCTTAAATGTGATATTTTCTGACCTTATCATGCCAAAGTTTCTATCAATAAACTTCTATTGAATGAATCAAGTTTGCTGTGTACTCATCTCCAACCTTTATTTCCTCAAGTTTTCTATAATGGAGAAACTGAAATTTATCCTCGATGAATATCACAATGCAGTCAGTGATCCACTAGAGACTTCACTTACATCAGCCATGTTTTCACTGGATGCCACTCATATACAAATTCTAGGTTTCATCTGCAAAGGACAATACACTGCTATGATTTGTGTGTGTTGCACATGAGAATGAGAAAAAGAATTGGGCAACAGAGCTTTTCACTGTGACAGCTTTTGGTTTCACCCTGTTCACTATGACAGCTTCTTATTTCACCCTCTTCACTATTACTTTTTTTTTTAATCTATTGTTAGGAAATTTAAGAACCATACTGTCCATGGTATGGTTTGTTTGCAATCGTGTCATTATGATTTTGAGAGTCGTCTGCCAGCTTTTTCAGTTATTCTTTTTTTTTTTATGTGCATTTTGTGCACGGTTACAACATGATTGCACTTGTTTAAGGCTATGTACACTACATCTGCATTCTGCTTGACTTTCAATGCATAACCAAGTAGTAACGGTCCAGTAGTTGTGCAAGGAAGGAGGTGACTCACTCTAATCCCCTGTTGCCCTTGGTTGTGTAACTTTTATGAATGAACATAGTTAACAATCTTCCTTTTTCAGAAGTCTTTCATAGATTTTGATAATGTGGGATGTCAGCTCTATCAATCTAGAGTTTTTACAATTGCTTTACTGCCATCTTTGTGAAATGGGTTTATATTGTATCAGTAATATTTAGCGACTGAAATGACTCGTGTCCAGACTACTCCTCAAGAGAATAATGTAAATGCTAATGATTTCTTGCATTTCTTTATGAACCTCACATTCTTTCTAGCCTGAATCTTTTTTTTTTTTCTCAAAGGTATGTGTGTAGAACGTACTTTTAGTGTCACTGAGCACATCTTCTCAAGACATTGATTCATATCAATGTTATTTGTGCAGTCTTCCCAAAATATTTTAGTAAGATCATGATGTAGTTAATACCAGTTAATGTTTGTACTGCAGAAATTAACTTTGTGTTGAAATAAATTTTTGAATTTG